GGCATAATTTTATATGACATGAGCTTTAAAAAAATAAAATATAAATATAAATATATATTTTTGTTTAAATATAAAAATATAATGGATGGACCGGACTCCATCTATCCTAGTCTGACTGAAAATAGAAATGGTAAACATTATATATAGGCGTCGTTTACTTCGCGGGACTGGATAGGATAAAAGAAATAATCCCAACAATCTTATGTTTACTGCGCAGGTTAGTGATAGGATTTTCATGACATGGCTCCCACGTGGCATGCGCTGATCGGCCATTTTCGGACTAAAATATCTCGGCTCCATCGCCTGATTAAATAATCTGATGTTTTTAATACCATTCTTACCCTCACTGTTCACTGGGAATAGACTAATGTGCCCCTTATTTTCCATTAATTTACATTAACCTGCGACCAAATAAAAGTGAAGAGTCGACATTTTGCCCTACCTGCAGAACGGGTTGAATCCACAATCGCCATTGTTGTGAACTGGTTTAGGGCTTCGCCAAGCGCGTTATAATTTTTTCGCTGTTGTGCAGTAGAAACGAAGACGTCGTTGTTCCTGTACAGATCGAGCATCTTCCATCGGGTGAGCCTGCAATCGCTATATTAACCTTTCCAATTTCAATCGCTGTTGGTTGTTTTTAATTCGTGGATTTTTAATTCGATTTTGTTCATTGGTTGTTTTTTTCCTCCTTTTTTTTTTTTGGGATTTATCCCATTTTGATGATTTTGATTTATTTAATTTCGAATGGTTTGTTTCTCCGATGGATACACCCCCATCTCCAGTCGGCAATTGCTGTGAGGTTCTCTCCGTGACCGGAAAAGGTAAACACCTAAACCCTCATCTACCTTAACATTCTAATTTCTACATGTGTTGGCCTAGTTTAACAGTATTGTTGGTATTCATAGCAAAAGGGCATCTGTCCGTGTTTGAGCAGGCTGTGACGAGCACGAGCACCTTCAGTGTAGGAAGGAAGCCAAATTACTTCTCGAATTTCCTCGAGGCTGCAAGGTAATGTCCTCTTCCCTGGGTATTGTAATTTTCCCGACATCAAAGTGTTGAAAGTTGAGCTTATAAAATCTACCTGTTTGTTGTTCAAAGTAGTGTTCAATTTTATGCGTGGTCGTGAATAAATGTTATGCTGAACATTCCGATTTATTTGGAGGGGACCGGGTACAGTATTGTGTCATTTTATCATCTTTGGAATACTGAGCTTTCACACATATGCTATGGCTGTGTGTATGCTACTGTCTGTGTGTGAAGAAGAGTGGTTTGTGCTGGGCCTGCTGCATTTTTTTATGCAGAGTTATGATTTGGTTAACATGCTGTTGAAAGTGTTGGTACCATATTGTTAATTCATGAGTTATGATGCGGTTAACCTGGTGTTGATAGTGTTAGTTCCATATTGTTCATTCAGGAGTTATGACTGCTCTTTTTTAAGTGTACTGGCTTCTCACTTCAGGTGTTTATGAGTCCTGTCTCATGCCTTAGAGGTTGTTCAAATTTTCAGTAGTTAGGCTTTAAAGACAAGAGAGCATGACTGAAATGTTAATTGCCTTGATTTGGATAAATTGCAGGAAGGTGTGCTCATTTTAGAGTGTCTATTGTTCCATTATGTCTTTGTCATAAATGTAACATTTGTGCAGCCTGTTAAAATACACTAATGGATGATGACTTATAAACAGATTAACATGTTGTCCAAACTTGTAATTTAAAATTGAAGATGACCATTCATCAAAGATGTTGTTTAAAGTGTAGGAGAACAAATGAGATTCATGAAAATGGGCCTTCTTTGATGTTTTATTGGATGCTGAGTTATGATCAGAGAAACATGACTGTTGAAAGTGACAAAGTGTTAGTTTAGTATTGTTGAAAGTGTCAGTTTGATAGGTTTTGATGACACAAAACCTGCTGAAGTGCTTTCATTACTTGTTCTGGACAAAATGCTGAAGGGTGTGCTCATTTTACTGTATCCATTCCTCCTGTATGTCTCTGTCATAAATGTATCATTTGGCTTATTTGTTTTGGTGTTGCGATTTCACATATATGTTGTTGTTGTGCATATATGTGGTTCTGTTAATCAGTGTACAGGCTTTAAGTGGCATGTGTGTGTTTATAGACATTGAAATTATAATCCTATTAAGTTTCATGTGTTGATTACGATTCTTTAGGAAAAGTAATTCATACAATTGTGCTTCTTTACGTTGTTTAGTATGTTCACCAACAATGAAGGGGTGAAGTCGATATGTTTTTTCATTCTTTGTAGATGGATAACTTGCGAGACAAATTACTAATTCTCACTCTTTTGGAAGAGATTGTTCTTGGTGCTCGTTTTTTTTTCATAGTAGCTAATTACTACTACTACAAATTCATACTCCCTCGCCGCCGTCGACGTTTGTTGACTAGCGGACTCACATACCGATTGAGGGACAGAGTGCCCCTTCAAGTGAGTCACATGCAAAGGCTAGTGGACGTTAGCGACACCACTTGCCTTGAGAACCTCCGTATGGACAGAAACTGTTTTGGTCGTCTTTGTTTCCTCCTTGAAAACAAAGGGGGTCTTGTTCAATCTAGAAACGTTGCACCGAGTGAACAAGTTGCTATGTTTCTTTCCATCCTCGCACATCACAAGAAAAACGTGACGTTGAAGTTTGATTTTGCGAGATCGGGTAGAACTGTAAGCAAGTACTTTAACCGTGTACTTGATGCGGTAATCCGGCTTTACACCGATCTAGCTGCCACACCTACGCCAATTGAGAATGATTGTTCAGATGACCGGTGGAAATGGTTCAAGGTAGCCTAGCTCACAAGACCCTTAACAACGCTTTGGTCAATTTTGTCTTCCCTTCTTCTTCCAAACTAATACTTTTTAATTTTTTCTTTTTGTTCGTTAGGGGTGTCTAGGGGCACTAGATGGTACATACGTTAACGTTCGAGTCCCATCAAAAGATAAGGGAAGGTATAGGAATCGAAAGGGTCAAGTAGCAGTTAATGTACTTGGGGTGTGCGATAGAAACATGAACTTCATATACATGCTTTGTGGCTGGGAGGGGTCCGCTGCGGATAGTCGAGTACTTAGAGATGCAATAACTAGGGCAAATTCTCTCCGAATCCCAAACGGTATTCCCCCGACTTATATGTGAACTTATGTAAAATATCACCCATCAAAAAAATCTTTAAATCAAACATAACACAATCGTTTAAAACGCAGGAAACTATTATTTGGTGGACGGTGGTTACACTAATGGTCCTGGCTTTCTAGCGCCATATAGGGGTGTGAGATATCACTTAGATGAATGGGGTACAGGGCCCCGCGCTCCACAAAACTTTAAAGAACTCTATAACCTTCGACACGCCAAAGCTAGAAACGCGATTGAACGTGCTTTTGGCATTCTGAAAATGCGTTGGGCAATTCTTAGGAGTAACTCTTTTTACCCCATTCGGACCCAAAATCGCATTATCATGGCGTGCGCGCTTATTCACAATTTTATACGTAACACAATGCCTGAAGACCCCATAGAGAATGATATTCCAGAATTCCCTGTACCATCCAACCCAACATGTGAGGACGACTACGTAGATCAAGTGGAAGGCAGCCAGGAATGGACACAGAAGCGCGACTTGTTGGCCCAACAAATGTTCGCAGATTGGCAGGGCGGTGTTCCATAGCTGATAAACAAATATAATTTTTTTGTATACAATGTGCACTTTCATAAGGTAGTTTATCAAACAAAGTAATTGTGATGAATGTTCTTATTGACCATGTTTATTCTTTTTTTTTTTAATGTTTAAGTAGATTATCGGCTTTTGTGTTAAAATAAAATTGTGTTTGTTGTTTTTCTATATATTTCTTCATGTGCATTATATCATAATTTTGTTAAGCGTCATTTTTCATATATTGGAAATTCAGTATTATCCAAGGTATAAAAAAATATAGAATTGCAACAAAATTATTGTCGCAACAAGATATTTCTCATGGAACCGTCAGCTACATCGGATACCGGGAAAGAGGGCGGGTCCACCTCAAAACGCCGTGTTTGGACAAGGGATGAAGAGCGTGCCCTCATTAATGCTTTGAAGGAGATTGTAGTCGAGGGTTGGAAGACAGAAAATGGCTTCAGAACGGGCTACGCATTTATTTTGGAGAAGAAAATGAAGAAGTTTCTGCCGGGATGTGAAATTCGTGCGGAGCCGCACATATCCTCGAAAATGCATGTCTGGAAGAAAACTTATGCGAGTCTGGCTCTTTTGAAATCAAACAATTCTGGAATGGGTTGGGATGATGTTACAAAAAGCTTCTCTTGCGAAGATGAGAAGTGGGCTTCCTGGCTTAAGGTTTGCTCGTACTTAATATTCAAACTTTGACTCGTCAACCGGTTTCACATACTTTACATATCCTCGACACTTTTTTTTACTCTTTGATGGGTGGCCAATAGGTGGATCCTAATGCAAAGGGTCTGAGGAACAAGACTTTTCCCCACCTAGATGACTGGTCCGAAATTTTCGGAAAAGATAGAGCCTCTGGCGTCGATGCCCAGTCTTTCGGAGACGCAGCTCAAGAAGTCCAACAGGAGGCGCATTATGAGGTATATGATGACATCCCATTTGGTCCCACGCAGCGCACAGCAGGTGTTGGTAGCCCGGGCAATGACGTCGGCCAGTCGTCAGGTACGGCATGTGATAGCACCTCTAGGAGAGGGGGAAGGTCGAAGGGCACAAAGAGGAGGTCCAGTAACCTGGTAGACGAACGTTTCATCGATGTTATGGAGACCTTCTCGCAGAACACTGATGGGAGGTTGAATGACATCGCAGCCAGAATTGCGAACGACCAGGCGGCACAGGCTCAGGCGACGCAGGCTCAAATGGCCGAAGTAAATGATGCGCTTCGTGCTTTCCACTTTCTATCCGGTGAGGACCGAATGGCTATCTGTCTGCGTTTGTGTAACAATGCCAAGGAGCTTGCTATGTTCATGGGCCTGGGCCCCGACGATAGGGCGCTCATGGCTAGGGTGATGCGCGATGGGCGGGGGTAGTGTTTTTGATGGATAAATGGTTTGTTTCTTGAGGTTGTGGTAGCAGTATTATGATGTGGGAACTGTATGAACTTTTATTGTGTGATTTTCTGATTTACTAGTGAACTTGTATTGTGTGATTTTGTTATTTTGTGACTTTAGTGTCATGTGTTGAATTGTGTAATGTGCCAAAGACTTGAAATAACATTTATTTTGTTCCATTAGTTGCTGTAACTTCCAATTTGTTTGTGTAACGGTAATTTCTCAGTAGCATGGAATGGTCGTACATTGGTTATCCTTGTGCGTGAAATGTTTTAATATGTTATAATCGCCCGTCGCAGGTTCACTATGCCTGTCTGGGAGGATCCGCCATGGGGCTGTTTCTATGCAGCTATGGACCTTCCAAACGAACCCATACTGGTAAGTTCAAACTTCTCACTTCGAGCATTGAATAAACATTGTGGGCTACTTTAGTATTGAAGTAAAATATTATAATTGGTCTACCCACGGTGTTATGTGGTATATTATAAGTTTCAATAAACACCAAAAAGAAAGGGAACAAA